CCCTGGCCCTGCACAGGGTTGCCGGAGCGGGCTGCAGGAGGAGGAGCTGCCGGCCGGCTCAGAATGCAGGGAGGGGGGGGGGGGAGGAGGAAGCTGCTCCGGAATCCAGCCCGGGACTTTCCTGCAGCCCTCCCAGCCGCTCGCTCTGCTCTGCCCGGGGAGGGGGAAATCCCGGACATTGTGAGTGCTTTACAAATTCCCCCCGGACGCTCTTTTTAGCACACAAAAGGAGGACATGTCCGGGTAAATCCGGACGAATGGTAACCCTAGTCACATCCACAAACAGGGTGCAGTTGTTCACTCTTGAGCCCATCCTTCCATGGACAACACTACCGCCAAGCTCAAGTCACTGCCATGTTGTGTAGACAAGCTGGTTTATTTAGCCCTCGGGCACCTTTGAGAAAGATTTCAGCTTCACTATGCCCCACATCTGCTGGTTGATCCTCTCTCTTTAGTTCGGAGCCATGCCATTTCATTGTTTATCTGAGCCACTCAGGCCAGCCCAGCTCCTCACCCACTTGAGGTTTTGGTTGCCTGGTTGGCAATCCTGCTGCCACCGCTTGCTGATAGCAGAGCTTTGTTTCTTCCTTTGCAAGCCAGCTGGAAATCGACTGCGCTCCCCAGGCGTGTAAAACATTTTTCTGATTATCCACATTTGTATCTTAATAATCAAACAAATTAACAAGTGGGGATATGGCCGGGCAAGCGCTGGGAAGAAATATCCATAATTCCATCCAGTACAAAATAGATTTTTTTTTTACATTAGCACAGCAGCTGGTGGAAGGCTGTTTTCTAAGTCCAGGTGTAACAGAATCTCATTGAATGAAAGAAAATAATTACATTTTTCCCCACTTCACGCTTCATTGCCTCCCTCTTATCCGATCCTTATCTAGTCTAGAAAGCCTCTCACCTCCTCAAAGAACAAGCACCAGGAGCTCTCACCTAACTTCCAGCTCTCATCAAGTTCAGGCACCAGCCAGGCTGAGTAATAGGATCTCTATTCATGTGAAAACAGTGCAGTCAGACAACGCCTTTGAGTAAGCACTTGCATTGACTCTATAGCTGTTTTCTTTGGTAAATTAGATTGACTACTTGTCTGAGCAAGAATGAGGCTATTCTAGCCTTGGCTATTTGTTACTGTAGTTGCATTCCTGTTGAATGTCTAGCCTGACAGTCCGGCCATCTTATTCCTTAGAGAACTGGAGCTGTTTGGGGTGTTTCTGACAAGAACGCTGTATGCGTTTGAAAAGCTGCTGCCTCATCAAAACCCATTCTCCTTAATTTGTTAGTCTCTAAGGTGCCACAAGTACTCCTGTTCTTTTTACGGATACAGACTAACACGGCTGCTACTCTGAAACCTGTCATTCTCCTTAATTCACTCTGCTCGTTTATCATTTTCTCTATTTCTCAATCTGTAGCCTTGTCAGGATTCCCTCCCCATTCTGAACTCCAGGGTACAGGTGTGGGGACCCGCATGAAAGACCCCCTATGTTTATCTCTACCAGCTTAGGTTAAAAACTTCCTCAAGGCACAAATTCTTCCTTGTCCTTGGAACGGTATCGCTGCCACCCCCAAGTGAATTAGACAAAGATTCAAGGAAAAGAACCACTTGGAGTTCCTGTTCCCCAAAGTATCCCCCCAAGCCCCTTCACCCCCTTTCCCAGGGAGGCTTGAGAATAATATACCAACCAAATAGGTTAACAAGGTGAGCACAGACCGACCCCTTGGGTTTTTAGGGCACTAAAAACCAATCAGGTTCTTAAAAGCAGAACTTTATTATAAAGAAAAAGTAAAAGAAGCACCTCTGTAAAATCAGGATGGAAGGTAATTTTACAGGGCAACCAGATTCAAAACACAGAGGATTCCCCTCTAGGCAAAACTTTAAAGTTACAAAAAAAACAGGAATAAACC